TCTTGTGAGTTCTCCTGCAACAGTTTGGTTAGTTTACTAACCCTAACCCTGTATGATCAGTTGGTTAAGTTTTGGTAAAATTACGTATATGACATGCAGTTAATTTGGAGGGGCCCTATTATGCTTTTTGGGGTTCCCTTTTCTCTGCAAAGTCTAAAATCCCAAAGTCCCCTCAGAGGGAGTTTCCCTCCCACACACTCCCCCCCTTGCCTGAAACGCTTCCATTGTAGTCCTTTGTTTTCTTTCGCAACAGTGTGACATCACAACGTAACACTCACGATTCTATTGGCTAGCGCTCCAACACATTGTATCTGTAATGCCAAGGGGCGGGACATCTCTAAGCAGTTGACCAATCAGAGCAAACTGGGCTCTGGTTTTCAGACAGAGGGTGAAAAGAGGTGCTGCAGAACAGGCAGTATGAAAATAAAACACTTTTTAAACATTAAAGCATGTAAAAATGCAGCAGCACAAATTATGAACCTGAACATTTGCTAAATAGGACCCTTTAATTAAATCAATGTTTACTTTTGGTATTGAATGGGACACAGCTTCTATTTCTCCTTAAATTATGACTCATCCATTTATCAAACACTGCCTCCAACCTATACTGACTTTATAACTATGTATACTACATCACCAGTTTTCCTTAGAGGCAGCCCTGCTTGTCCTAGCTTCCAATTACATGTGCTATAAACAAATTATAGGGAATCACTTTTTTGTAGGAATTAGTACAAACGGTGAATGAGAACAGTCTTATTACTTGAATACTGGCTTTAATTTGTGACTCTACAGAACAACTAAATGGCTTCTCAGTTTCTAATCAATGGAGCCAAAATGTTCTATCAAAGTCAGAAGCAGTAAAACCAAGCAATTACATATTTCAGATGAAAGTGGTAGGGTTTTTCAGCCCAAAACTCATTTCTGCAAACAGTTACATTTATTTGAAATATCAGAAAAATCAATATCTCTCGCAGGGTGTGTGTGAGTGGGATTGTGCATGTGTGTGTGTGTGTTTAGTTTTCCACAGCGCAACATTTTTAAGTCAGCTGCAAAATGAAAATGAATTACCTTGTTAGGATTTCGTTACTGGCAAACCTTACTACAGTATGACTGAATCGCTTGTTCGAGAGTCCGTTCTAGATTTAGCTTGTTGATGTAAAGATGCTGCCAGATGGGCGTTATTATATCTGGCTAACTTCTTGATGAACCAGCCAGAAGTACAGATAAAAGACAGTAATTTTGAAAACAAGTCTACAAAAAATGCAATATAGAAATCACAGCAATTGAACAGCCTGCTAAACTAAACACAGTTTGTCATGAAGGATTTATAGCTTGGCTGCTGGTTTAAAATGTGTTTAATGTGGGATCTTTCTGTTGTCCTAATTAGAACTGAATGACCATCAGGCATCTGGTAGCAGGTTGTGTTGCGTAGCAGGACAGAGGGCTGCAAATCTGGCCGCTACAATTTCATCCATTGTTGAAGCTTAATTAAGATCAGCCAGAAAGCCTGTAAAAACCTGTTGGTGTTTCTGGAGCCTGGCTAAGCTGGTTGGCTAATCTTGTTTTTGGGACCATTATCACATTTCCAGAAGATACTTTATTCTGTCTTTTAGTTCAATGAGCATACTTCTAGTGTGTCTTTCTGCTCTTTGTTCCTCATGTAAATGCATTTTACATGAGTGCCTGTGGCTTCAGTAAAAATTTGATGCTATTTTTTTGCTTCTGCAGAGGCAGAGTTACATCAGACAAGCAGTGTGTCTGCACGAGGACTCACTGTGGAGCCTCCTGCTCCGAGTCTCGTCTGGCAGCGCTGTGTTGTGCTGGGCAGGGCCGGGTTTGGCACTGTGCGCGGGGGGACAGATGGTGTTACATGTGATCTAGTTGGAGGTCCAGAACCGTAGCCCAGCAGGGACCCTGGCAGCTGACGAGCTTGGCCCGGGCCCCTGGGCTCCCAACAGGGCCGGCAACAGGACGGGGCCACCCAGGTGTCAAACCAGACGGACAGACGCCCGCTCCCTCTATCCACCATCACAGCCAGCTGTTTCACCTCTGCTGCTGCTGCACATCAGGAGAGCATTACACAACAGGCCTGAAATCATGTTCAAACAGAACATAATAAAACCGCAATAATTCTCAGCCATTCACATAATAGCAGCATGTAACAGGTACTGTAAAATGAAATATTGCAGCAGACAGCTTCAGCTCAGAAAATTGTGTGTGTGTGGGTGGTTCTACCAAATATGCTTTTTAATTGCGTCCACAATTTTGCGTGCCAGCATTTTAGACAGGACAGGTTTGACGGATGGAGACAAGCTCATAGCCAAAATGCATGGTTTTGTAGCTGCTCGTGTTATTCACAATGTCCTTGTTGATGAAGTTATCATGGCGATGCTCTAATCCCGACCAACTCTGTGAGACAGCCGCATGGCTTACCAGGAAATGCATCAAGTCATCATAGATCAAGTCACACTGTCATGGATGGCATTGAAGAAGTAACAAGGGCAAGCGATCGAGTGCCTGGATGCCATGGCAGCAGCTGAAAAATGCATTTATTTTAGCCAAGCTCCGCGACTTTCGGCTGGCTGGGTCTGATGCACTCCGCGGTTAGTCAGCACTCCTGCCGCTCTGCCAGCTCAGCTTTTATTCCGTGCCCTGAAAATTGAGTTTTGCTGGGCCTGTAATGTACTCAAAACTACATCTGCGACTGACTGATAAATCTACGCTTTGTCGCGCCTGAGGGATGGCTGTGAAAGTGAATATTCACCATGCCATGTGCCGTGTTGAGAGGAAGGTCACTTTAGATTTGCTCTAGCTCACAGAGGAACCTCTGCTCAGGGTGAAGTCAAAAATACCATTCTGTCTCAGATTGGGTATTTTCTTAAGCTTTCTTTGTTCAGTAACATGACAGATTCCTGGAGTGTTTATTCCACTGTGTTGTCTCCTGCTGCCTCACTACACTGTGAGGGGGAAAAAAACACTGCTCCTGTTGCGATGTGTCAACAATATCTATTATTTGCTGAGAGAATGGCTTTATGTCCACAGAGCGGTAATTGTGTATATGTTGCGTATAAAGGTGTCTTGATAAATACCAGAAGAAGACAGATCTTTATTGCAGAGCAGCAGTCGGGGTATGACACTCTGAAGACCAATTTCAGACTGTTAACAAGGCTTGGACCAGAAATACCTCTCAGCAATAATGTCATATACCTCCCTTTCTACACCTCCCTACTTCTCCCTCTCAGCTCTCCTGTGGACTTTCAACAAATTGTAGTTCCTCTCTTTCAATTTTCCGACCGTGTTGCGTGGTTCCACAATGTGCTGCCCCTGGGGGAATCACGGGGAGGCAGGAGCAGCGGCCCGGGCCAGGTCCGCAGAGAGCTGATAACCTTTCAGTGTTGCTTTAGCACACTGTGTAAAGAACAATCAGAGCTTATCAGCATCGACTACAGGCGAATGCTAATTCAATGTCATGCAGACAGACTGCAGACTCTGCAGAGGGAGAATGAGAGCAGCTCTGGCGTTCACTCTGCCACCCGGATTCCTCCAGCAGACACAAGTTTTAGTAATCTGAAGATTGTTGGCTTTGTATTGCGTTTCAAATCTGTGATCCACCTTTCTAATCTACATATAGAACTATAAATGAATCATGCCATAATAATTTGTACACTAGAATGAAGAGAATACAGGATTAAAGACTGTTATTTTATTTTATTTGACAGCAACAAATTATTAGGAATACTCATTAAAAAACTCATTTTATTTTGGCGGAGATGTTGACACCTGCCGGGCTCTGTACATGTTCATATCTAAATCTTAAAATTCAAACATTGGTAATTGAACATTTTCGGCAATTGTCACATGGGTGTAGTTTATTGTATTTCGGGCTGCTGTTGTGTGTCGGGGTTTTTCGGAAGGACAATGAAACTTAACTTTAGTACAGACTTTTATTATTGATACTCGTAACAGCTATGAGCCATGTGTAATCTCTTCTTAAGGAATTCAGTCACTATATCGCCATTAATGGTGCGTTAACTTTAGCATCTCCATTTTGCATCCAATGAAGGAGTTTTGATTCCCCATTTCTTGGTATTTTCTCATTTCCTCTTCTCCTTACTGACCCTGACATTTACTCTTCTTAAAAAGTACGTAACGTATATCTATATAATAAATGTTTTTATTGAATCCAATACTTTTGTAAATGTATCATTCATATAACATTGGAAATAGAAATACATGATCATTAGCAAACAAATGAACATTTCATGCAATCGTCTGTACGAATTCATTGCAATAACAATAACAGAAAAACTGAAAAGAAAAACACTTTTAAAACCCATTCCTTATAAGGTGTCTCTGGCTTTTACAGCCGTTGTTGCTAACCAACAATGAACCTGCACCTTTGCTATTCCTGCTATGTAACTCTATTGACCTTACAAGCTTCAAGAGGAGCGATGCTCAGGATTCTTTTGACTTACTGCACAATATAAGTGGCCTTGATGGTGAAAGGCAGCATCCAACTACTCGAAAACCATGCAGGTAAACTATTTGGTACATCGTCCATCGAGTGGAGCAAATGTTCTTTGCTGCTTAATGAAATGAAATCAAGCGTTATCTTGTAAAATGGTTCATCTTACTTTTAACCTAAAACCTTTTACATAGAATCACCTGAACTGAAAATGGAAGTAAAATGTCAACAACAAAAAAACACGATCTTTCTGTGCAGCTGCAGTGAAACTAGCATTATGAGAGAGTAATTTATGGACCGCCAGCTGGTCTGTAAAGGTTACAACTACAGGCAATTCCGACACAGTGGTTAAACAAGAGCCTAATTAAAAGTCTACAGGCTTGTAGATCCCAACATATGAAGATGCTTTTCTGTCTGGTGAGCATAAAATGGACAGTTTTGTTGTATGTGCAAGAAAATGTTGACATTTGGAAGTCTCTCTCTGGATCTGTGAATCTGTCGGTCTAATTTGCCCTCTTGTCTCTCGCCCTCTCAGCGCGGATCGTGCGGAGCCGTCAGTGGTGTGAGATGGCCCCCTGCCTGGAGGGGGAGGTCTGCAGCCTCCTGTTCAATCGCTCCGGCTGGACCTGCACCAGAGGCAGCGGGCGCATCAAGACTGTCACGGTAATGTACAAGACATGACATTAATATAGGCCATATGCACTTAACAGCATCACGTCGGTGGTTCAGCACGGGTAACCCCCCCACCCCCCCCCCCCCCCGTAAGCTGAGTGAGTGTGAAGCAAAGGCTAGAGGCAGAAGGTTTTAAGGACCGCCTCAATACTGGATCTCAAAGTGTACAAATGTCTCCCTAAAGGTTCACTACTACAATACTACTAATTACATCCACAAATTAACCGTGCGACATCCCATCGGGTCAAACTAAGGGCAACCAAACTTCTGGGTATAACTTCCTCAGTACTACAAAGTGTTCTGAAAATACGCTTTAATAGGTTTAACCAACCATACTGTTTTTGCTCTGCAGAAAAGCTGCTAAGGAGCTCTGCGCTACCAATATATCGTTGACAAAATCCATACCAAACCATTCTGGTTTCCAAACTTCTACTTCGTTTTTAGCTTCTTTATCATGAAATATATTTTACCAAGTAACCCTGAATACTAGGCCAAAATAACTGCCTCTTTCTAGGAATTAAAAGGTCCCCTAACACTAATGGACCTCCGCAAATGCCCTTCACATTATTGAAAAGTAATTTGGGTACCTTGGCTTTTGATTTTGATTTTTACAACATTTGATGGGTTTATTATTGGCTCATGTTTAACCCTTCCACCAAGTATCAAGAAATACGGGTAGTTATTTGTTCCGTTATCCTGACAAACATACAAATCAACAAACCAAACAGCAAACATAACTTTATTGGCGAAGGCGAATTGAAGTATCTCATCCCAAACAAAAAATAAATAATTTGAAAGCTTTCCTTGCAGAACCTCTTTGAGCCAAGTCACATCAAATACAGCTTGATCCCTAGCTATTGCTAATATGGATCATGTAAACAACTTGAAGGGTATTCAGAGAATGCAGACCTCTGCAAAGGCCAAATGTCTTATCTAGCACTTCTAACAAAAGTGAAAAATGATGTGTATATCTGACCTTTGATTCTGTAGACAAATAAACCCAAAACAGTAGCTTCTTGGCACAAGTAGCAAGCAGTAGCTAGGCAACATGCTTGAGCAGTTTAACCAAAAGGAAGAAGTTCAGCCGCTTGTCCCCTTTGATTCCATGTTTATTCACCCAACAAAACTAAGGTGGGTGGGCAATTATCAGATGTTTTACTTGAAACGTACTTTAATGCTAACACTGACAAATTGTTGTTTGAAATATGAATGAATGATGATTCAATAATTTGCTCAAACAAGAGATTAGACGTTCGAGGTATCAGTGTCGTGCTGAGAACAAAAATAGCCCATGACCTCTCCCTGACTTTGTGAGAGATTTAAATGAATACAAAACATGTTACATATTTAAAGCCTTCAATATGGTGTCATCTGGTCCTCTGTGGGCTCCTCTCCTCTCACAATGCAACATGCACTCATTGCCTCAGAGCTGCCAATGCTGCAGTGCTGACTGAGGCTTCGCTCTGTGATTAACTCTTACACCATTCACAATGAGCACAAAGCCAGTGAAGTGAAGATTAACATGATCTGTTTGTCTTTTGTGCCATTATAAAGAAAGAATCATTATGAGTGTTCGAAACCCATGTGAGAAAAAATAGGTCTGAATGTAACATCATGAAACATTATGTTCTCTGCAGGCTAGTTTTCTCACTAGGTGACCATCATCCTTCAATTATCTGACATACGTTTGCAATGTCCGCTAAACATAAATATACTATCTTTACAGTTCTACTGGCCTTATCCCTTAAAAGTGCAATGTGTACGATTTTACACATTGCGAATTGTACTTTTAGACAGTAATAAACGATGTCTCATTGTTGTTTCATAGGGGAGCTACTGTAATGAGCATGCTAACTAGCTAGCCCCGATCCACCCTGTCTTGAAATGCCACGTTTTCCTCAAGAGGAAATAGTGAGCAGCAGCTTCCCTGACAGGTTGTCAATAATATACTGTATCCTTATTCTGTGCACAGCTTGACACATATCGTCAGATTTTTGGACTAAATTCCGACACCTAGCCACACGATGGACCAGAAGAAGTTGCATGTCATTTACTCCACTTTGGATTCAGTCCAACAGACTACCTGCTTGCTAATGTTCACTATAGGCCGGAGACACAATTCATCGATAAGATAGCAGTGATATAAAAACCAGTTCTGTCAAATGATTTCGTATTCTTGCCCTATTGTTAGTATCTAGCATATTTTATTAACTTTTTATGGAACATTTAGATTGTATGGACCCAGTAGTACAGCTGTCCTCTATTTCTTTGGAGCAGGTGGCTGGGCACTACTCATTGCTCCTTTAACTGGCTTCACTAGTATTTGTATGTATACAGTATGTTTCCGTTCAGCTGTCGCCAGCCTTTTTCGATACCGGTCTAAACTCTTGTCCATTGAGGGATGTAATTTGCAGAGACAGGGCGAGTGAAACAGCACAATACAGCATGTTGATGTCAGCAAGAGATGACAGGACGGAGCGAGCAGGAGACACTGCTGTCCTCATCGTCAGGTACACAAGTCCAAAGGTCAAGCAGTGACTGGATCTCTTGGTTTTCTCTCTCTTTCTTTTATCCTCCTCACTTGCTGATCTCTCTCATCCCGCTCCCCTGCTCTCCTCCGTCCAGCAGCCCTGGGCAGCTGCGTCACATTTCATGCACGCATTCCCCATTGTGCTTTAATCTTCCCTGACAGCACGCTTAGGTTGGTGTTTTGCCTTTGTACATACATTAACAAAACAAATGCAGATTACGTGTTCCGATGCATATTCTTAATTAGCTGTTGCAGGGGAGAGTTTTAATGCAGAAGTGATGCTGGAGAAGGAGGGATAGGGAGGGATAGGGAGGATTTGGCAGCAGAAGAGAGCAGGGATCCAAAGGTATTTTGTTGTAAAACCTGAAATGGGAGGAAAGCACATTGTGGAAGATAAATGAAAATGAGAAATCTATAAAATGTATTGATCAGGCTTCAGCGTGGCGAGAAGAGAGGGATCGGGATAGAGGGCCGGGCTGAATCTCAGACACTGGCCAACCTCTGTGCAAGCGTCTGAGCATACAGAGGGAGTTTTAATTGTGAGAGAATTTTCCTTCACATGTTCATAATCATATTATATAGGAGCACTCTGTGTGACAATGTGCGCCTGTGAAAGCTGATAGTGGCTGCACTCATTATTCATGCAGCTGCGAGTAGGATTGACGTAGGTTGAGTTTGACGCTGAAATAAACGGACAAAATGCACCTGATAGTAGCAGACCATGCATCTAATATAACATATTATACTGCTAATATCAATTAAAGATAGGATGCAATAGCTTATTATCAAATATAGATCCAGTACTAAATTATGGCTTATTATTCACAAGTACGTCGGTACGCAAATGCGCTTTGTGACACAAGTGACGGTACGCATTTCAGATTGTTGCCGCGCAGTTATGTGCACCCCTGCTTATAACATCTATTGAAACGAATTCTTACCCACAAAATGATCATTCTTGTGCTGTTGATATTCTGGCCCCTGCTTACTTAAATTCATCAAGACTGTTCTATGTTTTTATCTTCCTTAACTGTGGAGGCAGGCAAGAATGCTTTTTACTATAATTCAAGGTTTCATGAGGTGAGTTACTAATGAACAAATTATAATGTTGTGGTTTAACTTTCAATAATTGTAATGTAACTAAACATACACATATCCTAATTAAAATCAGTTGTTGACTGGCAGCTTAATTAATGCTCACAACCTAAAGCTCCAACCTGACAATGAGACGTTGATCAAATGAAAAAAAGGATGTCGCCTACTCATGTTAACACCTTGTCTTTCCCAAGCTAATTCAGATGTATAAAATCAATTAAAAAGTATATATTTTTGAAAGTTCAGCTGGAAAAAATGAAACAGTAGACATCAAGTTAAAAGAAGTTCAGACTTTGAAAACATCTGAACATACTATTTAGTGTAAGAAGAGAGATGAAAAGATGTGCTTGTACATTCTTAAACAGCATTTCCTAATGTAGCAGCCATGGTTTTATACTGTATGTATCTTCCAGTGCAGGGATGGGCAAATGGGGGCCCACATTTATTTTTTACTTGTAGTACTGATACCGTCCACTAGACTCCTAGTTACGTCGCGAGCTGCGTACATGATTTCGTTCGGCAGCCAAATACCGCGAAATAATCTGTGACGCGTTTGTGTGTATTGTGTTTGTTTCCCAGGGAAACACTCACAAGAAACACCGGCTGTTGTTATGCCTGCTGTGACGTTAAGTTACCTCTTGTAATTATGCCTTTACAAGCTTAAAGGTTGTATTTATCATCTGAATTTGGCGAAACACGTTTAATATTCTAAAAACCAAGACTTTGTTTATTATACACTTTTCATTCATAATTTCAGCGGGAGGGAGGGGGAGCGGCGCTGAGGAACAGCAGAGTGCGGGTTGACAGGTGCCTGTGTTGACATTCCCTTATTGTGCGTCAGCAGAGGCTACAAGTGTCTTAGGTTCAAGTTAGACAACTAATGTCTGGGTTAGTGTTCATGACTTCATGTTTATGTCATCTTAATGGTTAATCTTAATGCACACACATTTTCCGTGCTTTCCAATCATTTAAAATAGTTTTATTCCACTGTTAAATAACCTGTTCAATACAAACATGCCACTTGTAAAAGTTAAATAACATCTCTGTGAACTGATATTTGTTTAGTGAGCTTATTAGAGGATGCTCCCTGAAAGATTGTAAAATGTCAATGAAGATGTCAGACTTAGTATATTTGTTAATAATTACATACAATACATGGAATTTGTGTGTGTGTGTGTTTTCCAAGTGAATCTGCGGCCCCCTGGTGGCCAGTACATACATTATGTGGCCCCCACCACCATCCAAGTTGCCCATCCCTATTCCAGTGTAGGCTGTGTTTGTGCTGCTGGACTCCAAGAGGGCATATTATGCTCATTTTCAGATTCACATTTGTATTTTGTTTCTCTACTGTGACATGTTTAAATGC